AACAAACCCAAACTCATTTCATGCTCTACAAAAGGAGAGACTCCCATGAAGCCTTTTGAAAGGGATCATCATGCAGCTCAGCTTTCTGTTGGATTCCATGCTAAACAAGCTAACCTTATCCTGCATTGTTAGCACTAGGGCACCCAACTGCCATCTCGCCAGCCCGAGGCCTAAGGRCTGCATGGGGGCAGTCCATGCATGACAGCCTCTATCACACAAGGCCTATGAGTATGGATTGGGGAGCCAAAAGGAAAAAGCTCCATGTGCCTGTGTCTGCATGGGTCAGAAGAGTTGTGCACGCAGATTAGCAGGCCAAGGTCTGAGCCACGGCAGCATTTTTATTTGAGATTTTGATAACTGTTTATATGTGTTGAAAACCAAAATGACATCTTTTTAAAGCTTGTCCATAAGTAAACATAGATGTCTTTTATAGTGGAAAAACACATGGGAAAAATCATCTATTTTGATGCAGCATTTGATAATGATAAAACACCTCACACCTCACTCTTTATAGTGCACAAAATGAATGAGGTCTRGGCTAGGTAGAAAAAAGGTCAATGCTGTTTTTGTTTTCTTTTAGAATCATTACCTTTTACCAGCTTTTAACCATCTGATATCCATAGTAGACACACTATCATAGTTAACATAGTTAAGTTCAGCACTTGTCTCATTTTAATGTAAAGATTTGCTTCCATTTTCTACAAGCAGTCTTCTTCACAATCCCCCTGTGCAGGTGCTATTGTTGCTCTTATAAATGTTTCCAGAAATGTTATTTTCTTCGAAGTGAAATTTCTAGCCTGCACTTTGATGTCATGTGTTCCCTTTGTCTTTCAAACTGCAAGGTTTTCCTTTGGTCCTCTCTCTTACCCTGGGAAGCCTTCCTGGAGACCTTACCCCCAGCTGTTTGGACTTTGTATACTTTAAATAATTTAACTACCCTTAATTACTTAAAAAAAAAGCTTTATGATTTTCATAACTTATTGCTGATTTTAATGGGTTGTTAATTTCAGTCCTGTAGTTTTATTTTATGTTTAGATAGGGCTGGGCAAGGAAAAAGAAAATAAAGACAACCATATTTAGCAGTGCAGTTGAGTTGTGTGTTAATGTTAGACTATTCTTTTGTGAGAGGCACTTAAACAGCATTCACAACTTTTATATGGAGTGTACCATCTTGGTCATACATAAGACCTCAGCACATATATATAATATATACTCACTTGTTCTTGTGCTCCCCCTGTGCCTCCTTCAAAAAAATCTTCCTTGATTGTGCTGTGTTTGAGTGGAAGAAATTCTTTGAAATAGATGTGTGTTTGAAAACTGCATGCCTTTAAAACCCAGTACTAGGACTTGCTACGTTTCAGGTGCTGGGAATTAATGAAAAACATGACAAAACAGATTCATTTCTGTGGCCCAAGTAAACTGTTTCTAGTTTCATTTATAATTATTCCTGGCTAGGTCAAGATATTGCTCTATATATTTGCTTACTTTTGACTTTCCCAAGTGAGAGTTTAAGATTGTACTAAAATTACCATGGAAAGTAAATGGAAGCCAATGACTTTTGTTATTCCCATGGCATTCACTGGCATCTTTGGCATAGGGCTGGAATTTGGGACAACATTCAGGCAAACTTGAGGGGCTGCCATTTTGTTGTATGTGTACAGGATAATGGGCTGTACAAACCTATGGTACATATTTCATTTGCCCCTAAACTCTTCTTTCCCTGGTTGGTTTTCCTTTTGTGGGGGTGGAGGATATGGATAGATTGTATGAGTAAGAAGTATTAATTTTTTAAAAGACAAATGAAGACACAAAAATTAACACAAGAAACAAAAACTGAATAAAGAATACCAGAATTATTTTCTAACAAATACCCTTCTCCATGAAGGCAAAAATATGGATGAGTAGTCACAACTGTCTCCCAAATGTTTACATTGGTACTATGTCAGAAGTCCAGAATTAATACCAATTTGAAATTTAATCACTCTTCTGTTCTAAAATTTAAACATCTATTTTTACATAACCTAATTGCAGGTACCCAGTAACTGCTTCAAGTAGGTCACACAAACATTTGTCATCCTCATCTGATTTTGAAACATTTTAGAGAATCTCTTGACTAGCATTATGCAAACTGAAAAGTCTCCATGTTCCCATTTGATGCCTTAACCCTCATTAATCTTATTTAGGATCTTTTAGTAAAATGCCTGTTGAGTGACCCTTATATTACCAAAGGATTCTAATGAAGTCATTGACTCAGACTAGCATAGATATGAAAATACAGAAAAAATGCTTTTTCTAGTCCCCATGACAATGTCTATATGGCAATACCTGTTTTTAGAATCATGAAGGGGTTTTAAAAGGCAATGAGAATTGTTAAGGCCAAGCTCCTTACTCAAAGGCCATACTGCCTCCTGGTTTCTGTCTCCTAAAGAAACTGTTTAGCCTTTTAGGAATTTTGAGAAGCTTTTTTCCTTCGCTTGACTAAACAGCTGCTTTTCCCGTTTTTTATTATCCTTCCACCTAAATATTCTTAACCCAAATCAAAGTCAGATTCCAACACACCTACCAAATGTAGCATAATGGGGGAAAAGCAAGGGTTTTAATTAAATTTAATCCCATTATAACATTTAGTAGACACTGAGCAAGTTATTCAATCTCTTCATGGAACCTGTTGCCTCCCTGAAAAGTTGCTATAAATACTATCTTCATCTTGAAACATAAGGATTCCGCTTATACATGCAATTTATCAYCCTACTCCTAAAATCCATGTGAATAGTACCTCCATCCATAAGAGGTATATATACTTCTCTACTTTTTCTGATGAATGCAATCTTCTAATTTCCTTAATACTGAATTTTAGCTCAGGTGTGGTGGCACATGGCTATAATCCCAGTGACTCAGAAGTCTGAGGCAGTAAGATTGCCAAATTCAAGGCCAGCCTTAGCAATGGAGACCCTGTCTGAGAGGCTGTAGCTTAATAGTAAGATACCCCCAGGGTCAACCCCAAGTACCCCAAAAAATTGTGGTGCTGGGGATTAAACCTAAGGCCTCATGCATACTAGGAATACTCTTATCACTGAGCTACACTTCCATCCCTGAAAATAACTTGCTCAGTGTCTACTATTAACACAATTCCATGGTAGTAGTACTTTTCTTTTGAGATAGTGTTTCAGCATGTTGCCCAAGCTGGTCTGGATCTTGTGAGCTCAAGTGATCCTCCTGCCTCAGACTCCCAAATAGCTAGAACTATAGGCATTTATTCCTGGCTTGACTTTTGATCATCTTATAAAATTTCTTAAATAAAGGCTTTATAAGATTAATGTGTCATCAATTTTTAGTGATTATCTGGTCTTTATGGACTAACATCATACTGCATACTATAAACCTCTGTGAAAATGAGTGTCCTAGTTAATATTTAGTGCTGACCTTGCCAAGTAAAATCAGTAGCTATCTTCTTGGCCCATGGTCCAGATAGTAGGAAACTGCTTTTCTCGTGGACTATGTCTGATTCTTTGATACAGTGTAGTTTGAAAAAGATGTACTGGATGAAGATTCTACTCTTGGTTGTTTTATATTTCTTCCAAGTCATGATTGTGAAAAATGACTCAAATGAAATGCACTTAAAATACTCCCAATTAATCTACTGTAATTTTGGAAATATTTCTAGTCCCTCAAATCTTTTGCTCCCTGCCATGGGGAATGCTTAAAAAGTTTTTCTTGGTAGGGCAATAATTGGGATATTTATTTTAGATGTTCACACCAGGGCAAAGAATAGCATTGCAAAAATATAACAAAAGCCACAAAGTACTTCTAAAATGTGTATTAAAAGAATATAAATTTAAGAGGTCAGTTGTTTCTAAATTAGTAACGCATCACACTTTCTGAAAGCTAGGTCAACTAACCTGACAGCACTTTTGGAGGAAGAAAAAAAAAAAAAACACTCCAGGCAAAAGAACCAAAGGGATACTTACTCTTCCTTCCTGCTACTTCTGAGCAATGAACAACTGGACAATTACCATCTATTAAAGACTAGCCTAGCTGTAGATCTCAGGCTTCAACTCTAGTTTCTCAGGATATGGAATCAAGTTTTCTCCAAGCCTGAATTCTTTCTTGGGTCACAAATTCACTGCATCTTGCTAAAGTAAGTACAGGGCTTGAAAGGGAAAAAACAAAAGCACATCAGTTTCACCAAGAAAGGGAAATCAAAGAGCAAATTAATAACCATGATTTGGGGGCCCAATTTGAAAAAGTAGCTCTTCAAACTTTTCTTCCTCCTAAGAATGGCTCCTTTAGCTTTGCTTTAAAAAAAAAAAAAAAAAAAAGACTAACTGGGGAAACAAATGACAATTTTAAAAATCTCTGACTTGAGTGGTTTCATAAAATCAACTAATGAAGTATAAAGGCCACAAAAGAACCATCTTTACACATAAGTTGAAAAGTCAGGGGAAAAAAACTGAAAAACTACACAGATGTAATTCC